GATTATCAAAATACTTAATATCGGTTGCCGTTGTATGTGAGCTATAGAAAAACGTGGATGTAGGTATTCAATGTTCTGCCACCCATTTTGAACTACAAATACAAATTTTTAGACAAATCCATGGAAAAATGTGGCTAAAACCATCAAAATGCCGGATATCGAATTTTCCGCCACCGGAGCTACAACCCATTACGAACCACAAATACCATTTTTTAGGCAAATGCGGATACCTTCATATAAGGGTTATATCAAAGCATGGTCCTATTCTTATAATTATTTGAAAGAATGTGTTCTTCTTCTTAAAATCTCAAATTACCAACATTTGAGGATTTTAAAAGGGGCTACATCATTTGAGGGACTACATAAATTTAGACCGACCTGATGCATATTTTGTACAACTGATTCTTCGTGAAACCCCAAGGACTGTATCAAATTTAAAACTCTATCGTAACTTTTGCGAAGTGTAAAGCAAAATATTTGAGGCCTTTTGTGTTTGGTTAAGCTATATAAAATGGACCATAAAAACATTTGACACGAAACCCCATTTTTGGGATTTTTATCTACCAACCAAACAGTTTTCCAAATGTAATTTACCGCAGTGTAATTACTGAATTTTCCAAGTGTAATTACTGACGATAGCGCATAGTCACAGTATAACGTTACATGTGAGTTAAGGTTACTTTTAAGGTTTCGGAAGAATTTTCTGAGGATATGAATCCTTTTCTCTCTAAATTTTCAATTGCTCCACTATTTTGTATAGTCCGCATATAACAGTGCTCTTCATATTCGGTATTTCACTGATTGCAGTCCCAATGAATTTGCATTTTAAGTTCTCATTGGATAGATTATTTCCATATCTAGTCAATTTCTTGCAGTTTTGGACTTCAGAATCGATAGTAATTCCTAAATTGAAATCCCGGCAATATGACTTTAATTTAACTATCATAAATAAAGTTTTATCGATTTATACAAGTTAGGGACCCCATAAAGTATGTTAAAAAGATGAAATCTTTGTTGATTAAATTATGTCCGTGAGCCTCTTTATTCACCATCTGCAATTACGATAGAAGTCACCAAATTCAATAAGCGTCTTTCAAACTTTGCACAGTTTTTATATAATTTTAAGGATGATTGATTATACAAAAGGTATATATTTGTTCTCATTTAAATATATCCCTCATATAATATTATCTCCCAATATTCGTCGACCAAATTTGCTCTAAATTTTAGGTATTTTGAAGGGCTCAAAAGCATTTTTGAGGTTATAAATCATTTGTCAGAAAATTGCAACAAAAGTCCACTTTATGATTTATTTTGTATTCCCCAGTACCTCTTTATATTCGTTATATCATCGTATTTAATTTAATTTTCAATTCTCAATTATCAGTATTATAAAGGTCTTAGCAATATTTTCCAAATCAAAAGTAATGTTAGAATTCGTAACTTTTAGAAGATCATGTTATAAGGTATTTAGTTTTTACCAGTCGATTAAACTATATCTGTCTGTGTATGCGGCCATTCGTTGAAATCGCAATAAAGGCGAAATATTTAGGTTGATCTTTAAACTACAATATTACTAGGAAGTTAGAATATATCAGTTTTGTTTAGGTATAATAATACCACTAAAAATTCGTCCTTTTGCTTTTGATGCTTTGAAAAGTATTTTTAAGTCAAAATTGAAAATTTTGGTTTGTCAACCATATAACGACATGTATAGAAAATATGCAAAATTTCTCGATTTTTTCTGTTTTTTTTCAATAAGAATTTTAAATTCCAAAAGGCATTTTGAAACAATTCTACACAAAACTCCATATCAAAATAGGAAAGTCAATTTTTTCAGTTCCGCGATTTTTATAGAGGCTTTACGCAACATTTTCTTTCATGAAAACGTTTCCGCTGAAATTACAAATAACCAAAAGAAAATTTGAGTCAAATCGGCCCAGCCGTTCTCAACAAACTTGTTACTATCCTTTTTTAATTTTTTTACATACAGATTTAAAGAAGTAGGTGTGGGCAGTTCCTCTGACCCCAAACAGATACCTAAAGTTGGAGGGAGAGTCAAGATTACGTCATATACTAACTGTGGAACAGATATCTTCATGAAAATTGGTATTTGTTGGTCATAATGGGTTCCAGCTCCGGTGGCGAAACATTGCATGTATGAGTCTACGATTTGGTATAGATCCCATATAACGGTACCTCCCGATATTCGGTATTTTGATGGTTTTTGCCACATTTTTTCACTGATGTGTCTGAAAATTGGTATTTGTAGGTCATAACGGGTCCCTGTGCGTGTGGCAAAACATTGCATGTATAGGTCCACATTTTGGTATACCCCCCATATAAAGGTACCTCCCGATATTCGGTATTTTAATTTTTTCCCACATTTTTTCACGGATTTGTCTGAAAATTGGTATTTCTTGGTCATAATGGGTTCCAGCTCCGGTGGCGAAACATTGCATGTTTGGGTCCACATTTTTGTATATCCCTATATAGCGGTACCTCCCGATATTCGGTACTTTGATGATTTTTGATTCGGGCGACCGAACTTAATGTTTTTTACTGTTTTTTTTTAGGGTGTCCCTCAGTTTATGGTTCATAGTTGGTATAAAATTTGTATGTGTTCTCTTATTTTCAATATTGTACTCCGATCTAGCAATAGAAAAGAATTAAACTTATTACATCATTTTTTGCGAAACAGCAAGTGGTCACACTTTTAACGTGTTTTAATGAAGTATGGTTTTGTTATTTTCCGGATTATTTATGTTATTTTCTGGAGTTGTATCCCTATTAATTGATGGAATATTATTGTCGCCAATCACAATTAATGGATCAATTGGGTTTAACCAAAAAAAATCTAATTGCCGCGCTATGTTTCGAATAAACGGCCAGAGCGTGGTGGAATATATGAGCATGTAAGGTATACAAATGTTTTGATTGTACGAATTTCCACTGATATAAATTCAATATCATTGTGCAAATGAACAAAATCTAAAGAGACAGCTATAAGAATTCCTCCACCATTTTTTTCAGAAATTTGAAAGCAATAGAATCCGGAAACTTTAAATATTTTACAAAAAATATCTGAATTGTAAACTTTTTGTTGTAGCCAATTTACAATAAGAACAATAATTAAAATTAAAATCGAAGCTAAAGAGTGTTAATTTGGAATTTAGACCTTTTAGATCACTGACTTCGACAACGTTTTTACGGCTGCACCCATTTTGAATTTCGTGGTCATGATGTATCATTGAGCTATGCTTTGCGTTACATCGTGACAATACAATTGAGGCAGATTTGTTACCATTCTAGCACTTGAATACGTTACGAAACTTGCAGCTTAAGGAAACCTTAGTAGTATTAGAGTTGATGGTTGCGATAGCAGAGTGGTGTCGGATTGCCGACAGCCATGTTGTGTCGGTGAATGAATAGAAAGGGTAAGACAAACGTATATAATGAGAAACTTGCATCTTGTAATTGATCATTGGTTAAATTAGTTTTAGAAGGCTCTTCATTATTCTTGGTATCTAGGAGAGATTGTATGGTAGTGTGGGGAATGTATATTTTAAAACCAGTAAGAAAAGGTTAAAGTCGGGCACAGCCGACTTTATGATACCCTACACCTTTGTGCATAATGATTTGTGAGATTTTTGGAGTCAAATACTTGAATTAACGAATTAAAACTTAAAATACCGTCATCAATTTATTTTCTGCTGATGATATAAATCGGGGGTATAATAAATATAATCAATAAAGGTTTCACACAATAGTTGGAAATTAAGGCATCGAATTTGGAATAATTGGTTTCCTTTCAATGATGAAAGTACTTAGCTCCACCGCCACGTCAAGGCTTATTCCTTGGAGGAGTAAAGCAGTCGAATAGCATGAAGCTACTTCACACTAAGTAGCACATTATTCAACATACTTTGTTTTATTTTAATAACATTACATTTATTAAAAGTAGTCTTATAATTGTTAACCAGCGTTAAAAATAAAAGACAACTTTCATTGCATGGGAAATATATTTATTGGAAGTGAAGTACATATATATATATATATATATATATATATATATAATCTTCTTTAGTTTGATATGGTAACATATATCGCGTCATGATAACTATATACAGTTTCATATGTGAGCGCATTTATTACACTTCTGTCAATGTTACTGAAACACCAATCAATTTGAGACAACCCTTTCGTTGTTGGGCTATTCAGTATAGAGGAAAGTCTATTATTATTAATTAGCGCTTCGGTAGATGTTGTCTCTCTTTGGCGACATATATTAAAATCACCAACTAAAACACATTTTTCAAACCCTATACTATTTAAAGTATAGGTTATGTCCTCATGTAGGCAATGCAAAGTATAATTTTTATTCCTATACAGTACAATTATATTGATATTTCTTACTTGAAACACCATAAGTTCTAGCGTTTTATTATGCGCATGTACCTGTTTATGGAGCTTGTATTGTGCATAAATTTCGTTTTTTACATAAACTACTAAACCCCGTTTGCATCTACGGTTATCGTGATCAGAGGAATCTAATCTCATTCCTGGCAACACCCTAAAACCTGGAATATCATATGATTCATTACGTAGTGTCCACGTTTCGACAAAACATTTAGCATTAATAAGTCATTACGTAAGACTTCAAAATGAGCATGCAGACTTTGCACATTATGATAAACAATTTTCAAAGTGCCAGTGTTATGCAAGTGACCGTAATGTGTATTTAGACACTTGTGTGTTCGTAAATTCATCATCTCTAAATAAACAGGATCATTTTCTTTAAAAGGACTTGGAGGAATAAATGTGCCTATAAGAAAGAGACCAGCTGCCGTGGTCGCTCTGCTGCAAGCTACATACAAAGCTGATCTACTCATGCGAGGCTTCAAATGGACAGCCACATTTTCATACGTAGAACCTTGGCTTTTATGTATCGTTATACCCTCCGCTGGTACTATTGGAAATTGCTTACGATCAATACTAACTTGATCATTGCGTTTGTATTGAAATGTTTTGACACAAATATCAATGGGGGTCCATAAAGCTTCGGTGGGATGCCGTTTTTTGGAACGAGCTAAAACTCCAATATTTTCTTGAGGAAACTTTATCCAAAGCGTAGAAGGTTTCCTAGTTGTACCGATGAAATTTATTTCCATCAGTTGACCAGTTGCTCCATTTACTAAGCCATCACCTGTGTCTATATTTGCAGTAACCATATATTTCGCTGTTGTTTTTAATATTAAATGGTATTGCAAACCTCGTGTTTCGGATACCTTAAATGTTTTAACAGAATCCAAGATTCTATTTTTATTTTGATGTGTTAAACTCGTAGATTTGACAACGTCAAAAGCTTCGGAAACAACTTCTTCTGTTTGAATAGAGTTTAACTTCAATGTGTTGTAGACATTGACTTCATCATTGGAGCAAAACAAATGGATGGCATCATTAGGAACGTCTGTTGGAAGTACAACACGCTGTTGCAACAGAGAAATATCCTGGATTGTCATTTGTCCAGAAGCTAAATTGTTTAAAGCAATGGCAAACGCACGATCTCCTCTTTGGCGCATTATCTCGGTTAATTCAAAATATTTGAATTTATCCCACGTTTCCGTTCCATATATTGCACTGTAAGGATCATTAGTTGGAGCTGAAAATATCCATCTATCACCAACGGGAGAAAGCTGTTTTAAATCTCCAAAAACGATCACAGAGACGCCGCCAAAATAATCAGTGTTTTTAAAGATTTGTTTCAGCCTTGCGTTTAAATATGAAAGCATTTTTGCCCCTACCATTGATATTTCATCAATAATGAGTAATCTCAAATTCAGCAACTTAGTATAAATTGCATTCAAGGCATCCGGGCCCAAAGGTCTTAACTCCGAACTGGACTGATTTACGGGCAGCGAAAACATTGAATGCAACGTAGCACCACCAATCCCGAATGCGGCTTTTCCAGTAGGAGCAGTAAGTAGTACTTTAATTGCTGTTGGATCAGATCCAGGGATCGAATTTAATCTTCTATTAACGCACTGGTATATAGCTGATATTAATCTACTTTTTCCCACACCTGCGCCTCCACCGATGAATTCATAAAATTGTAATCCACATTTAATATTATGGCAAAGGTGAGTTAAATAAAGTTTTTGCTTGGCGTTCAAAGTGCTTACCATATTTAAAAGATCGGACTCCGAAATAAGAGGTGGGAGTTTAATTGCACGTATTGATGAATCCACATTTCCTTCTGTTGTTGCATCATCCTGCGATTGTAAAATATTTACATTTCGATCAATTTCCGGAATACCAAGGACTCTAAATTCATCATCGATATTCCCATTATTAACGTCTTCGTTAATATCACCTCCAAATTCTTCGTCGTTGAGTCGCTGTAGCACATTTTCCAGTTCTCGATCTTCAAAAACGTCGTATTTCTTTCTGTTCCTCTCAATACTTTCCTTTAAAGCAGTACAAGTAGCTTCATTGTCATTTCGCAGTAAGTCAATTTACTCATTTCTCCAAGGGTGGAACAACATTACCAATTCTCGAAAATAATCGCTTCTGTGAGTGTTTACATTATATCTTCTGTATCGAATAATATGAGGCTTGATTTTTTCTTTGATAAAGCCACTATTATTTTTCAATTGAAAAGTTCGTAAATACTCTTCAGAATTTTCTTCAGTTTCTTGTTCTTCGTAATTATCTTCTCGAACATTGTTTCGCCGTGATCGTGAATATTTGTAATTAGCTGCGAAATCTGCTAGACATAAATCTTCTAGTTCATCTGGTCTTTGGATATAGTGTTCCAAAATACCAACGGCATATATGTCTAAAGAATCGGAAGGCAAATTTTGTAATTGTTGACGGGATTTAAGCATAAATACTCGCTCCTCGGGGCGCCCAGTATTTATATAGATTTCGACATTGCTACACTCCGATAGACGCATTCCTAAGCAACAAAATGTGGCTTCTTGAGCTGATATTTCAGTACCTGAAATGAACTTGTGAGCTATATGCTGCAGCTTTTGCTTTATTGAATGATTCCCTAATCTTATTTCTTCCACCGCATCCCGAAGTATTCTGGATACGCCACGATTAGATTTATTGATGTAGTTGATTATATAACTACAACATGCATATGGATCGAGGATATATTGGATATCCATGTTGGCTCTATGCAGTGACAATATTGTTGGATTGTAAGCATTCACCATTTTGTCCTCATATCTTCGACGTAAAAATATTTTCGGTTTTTTTTAAAGAAGACCGCAGAGATAACAAATAGTCCTCGTATGACAGATTTATATTTTCATGACAAAGAAAATTATCAAAATCATTAAATTGGGCGACTTGACTTGAGTCTAAATTTGAATTTAACATACTTTGAATTTTGTCAAAGTTCGCTTTGTACCTCTGCATGTTTGGAAAGTTTTCAGGAAGCGGCAATAAAATTTCTGTTGAAGGCATCGGTGGATATGGCATACCGTACCGACAAATCCTTTCACCACGAAACTCTCTTGAACAGGAGCGATTGTGATTGTGGCGCTGATAGGGAATATATTCCTGTAAACTATCATCAGCACCATTCGTAGAAATATATTTATCAATAAAAGCAATGGCCGTCGAAAATGTAGAGGAATTATTGAGATCAATTGTAGGTGAGTCTTTAAGCCAATACATTCCGTGAATGTGAGGAGATCCACGTTGTTGAAATTCTACTCTCCAATAATATTTTTCAACGAAATGATTATCGAAGATCCCGTTATTCATTTTAAATAAAGAAAACAATTGCCTAAATCTGAAATCAAAGTAGCGAGAGCATGTAACCGCATCGCTACGTATCAGTCGGGCCTTTTCGGAGAAGGAGAGATTGGAAGTTATAAAAAAGGTTGGAAGGTCAAATTGTCTAATCATTGCAACGACTTTCTTCTTTTCTGCTTCCCAGTGTGCCGGCGAGGTTCTGATTCCTTTGAGTATGCGATAACCGTCATCATGCTGAATAAGGCTATTCACATAGGATTCATCCAAAGCATTTTCAGCTGTAACATTCCGGGATCGCGTGTTTTTCCTTAAAGCAATTGAAATGGCACTTTTAATCGATAAAAGCTCTAGCTTTTTGTAGCTATACAAAATTTTATCAATTCTGCAACATCTTCTATCATACCGCCGAAGTTCAGATCGAATGATTTTGGAGTAAGATTCCGTGCAGGATCGCTTTTGCCCACAATATATGGTAACAAATGCCAGTTCTTCCGAATCTGAATCGATGATCATATCGAGGGGGCGGTGACCCTCGCCTGGTGCCATAACAATGCGTTGATGAGGCACATTTTCAAGACCTATAGTATCGAGCAATGTTTGCTGACCACCTGGATTAAGGTTTTCCATGATGAACTCATCCCCTTGTGGATTTTCAGCAACCGAGGGAGCCCTAGAGATTTGGTCATCGAATATTGCTTGAATTGCTCCTTGGTCTTCTTGATTTGCCACAAAAGGTACGACCGCCGAAGAATTATAACCGTCGAACCATCCTCCATCAATCGTAATACCATGTTTTATATACAACTCGATATTTATCAGGTATCTGGCTGCCTCAATTACTTTCGCTGGTCTAATTGTTTCAGTCATGTAATCATGCTGATACTCCATGCGACGTTTAAGATGCAGTTGAATCACCTGGGCTTGGTCAAAATGCCGAGGAAGAGACGTTACAGTTTCGCTAACCGATATTTGAACATTTACTACTGCGCCGCGAATGGCACTTTGTCTTTCGAAACCTAACGCAACAATAACCATAAACGGTAATCGAGCAGTAACCAAACGTTCCTCAACTGATGTTAAATCTTTAAGAGCTCCAGGAATCTCCGGAAATTCTAAACCGTTTGAAATTCGTATATTTGGTTTTTTTCCACTTTTTATAGCTCTGTTACAGGTTTTGCAAAACGTGTAGAAACCATTAGCTGAGGGAAACCGTTCAGATAAGCAAAAAACTTCAGAAATAAAATTTGAATTTGACATACCTTGCTTTTGTAGAAATTCAACTTGATGAGGAAACCACAAGCCTCCGCAGCATATACATATCCTGGTTGGTCCCTGCTTGATAGTTTCATTGTATCGCTGGAAACGCTCGTTATTCCGACGGCTTATAATCCTGGCAGATTCTTCTTGTCTTTCTTCGGCTGTTAACTGGTTTCTTCTTGTTCTATTCCTTTCGGCCTGGTTCACATTGATTCTAATCCTGTTGCTGGGGTTACGTCTATGGGTTTCTACCCTTGATATCGTTGATCTATTCAAGTCATGTTGCGAGATCCTTTGAAAAATCCTTCTTTGTTGTCGTTGAACAGTGTTTCTTAAACGCTCGGAGGCACGGACTTCAGGATCTTGGCGTCTAAGGCAGTGTTCGGCAGTGTTCCGTAGCTGTTCGTCCTCCCGGTAAAGAGGGTCTTGACGTCTGTCGACATGTTCTCGAGTATTCCTATCCTGTTCCCCCTCACGATAGAATGGATCCTGGCGTCTTTCTGCATGTGCCTGAGTATCCCTTTCTTGTTCCACGTCACGATATAGTGGATTCTGGCGTCTAAGTGAATGCTCGACAGTGTTCCGTATCTGTTCGTCTTCCCGGTATAGCGGATCCTGACGTCTGTGTGCATGTTCCCGAGTATTCCTTTCCTGTTCCTTCTCCCGGTATAGCGGATCCTGACGTCTATCTGCATGTTCCCGTATATTCCTTTCCTGTTCCTCCTCACGATAGAGTGGATCCTGGCGTCTTTCTGCATGTGCCTGAGTATCCCTTTCTTGTTCCACGTCACGATATAGTGGATTCTGGCGTCTAAGTGAATGCTCGACAGTGTTCCGTATCTGTTCGTCTTCCCGGTATAGCGGATCCTGACGTCTGTGTGCATGTTCCCGTGTATTCCTTTCCTGTTCCTCCTCACGATAGAGTGGATCCTGGCGTCTTTCTGCATGTGCCTGAGTATCCCTTTCCTGTTCCACCTCACGATAGAATGGATTCTGGCGTCTAAGTGAATGCTCGACAGTGTTCCGTATCTGTTCGTCTTCCCGGTATAGCGGATCCTGACGTCTGTCTGCATGTTCCCGTGTATTCCTTTCCTGTTCCTCCTCACGATAGAGTGGATCCTGGCGTATTTCTGCATGTGCCTGAGTATCCCTTTCCTGTTCCACCTCACGATAGAATGGATTCTGGCGTCTAAGTGAATGCTCGACAGTGTTCCGTATCTGTTCGTCTTCCCGGTATAGCGGATCCTGACGTCTGTCTGCATGTTCCCGTGTATTCCTTTCCTGTTCCTCCTCACGATAGAGTGGATCCTGGCGTCTTTCTGCATGTGCCTGAGTATCCCTTTCCTGTTCCACCTCACGATAGAGTGGATCCTGGCGTCTAAGGGAATGCTCGATATTGTTTCTTAGCTGTTCCTCTGCTCTATAGGATGGGTTTTGGCGTCTGTCTGCATGTGCAGCAGCGTCGCGTTGTCTTTCTTCAATTCTAAATTGTAGGTCTTGTCTGCGTAGCCTCCTCCATTGTCCGCCATATGATCTTCGAATAGTATTGTTCTGCGTGGTTCTTAACGTTTCACGCTCTTCTCGAACAATACCCCGAATAATGCGTCGGCGTGTGGCAGCACTCTGCTTGCGAGTTCTCGGCATTTTAATTTAATTTTTTTGTACAGTGTGTGCAACTTGAATTATAAAGTTATACTAAATTCAGTGATTACATATCCACAGCTTAAGTAAGATATTGAGGGGTGTGAGCAAAATACAATTTTAATACTTTTATTGACTACAGGTAATATTTGCATTGAAAAATGTACCCACAATCCCTTTAGCAAACAATAAGAGGTTAATACTTTTATTACCAGACAGGTAATAAAATGACCTAGTTATTCGATGTGTTTGCGTAGAAAACAAAAACACAGGTGTTTAAAACACAGGTAGCAACCTTAATCACAGGTAAGTATTATTTAAAATAAGAGAGAAATGATTATTTATTCAGGTAGTTGCAAAAAAATAAATCCAAAATTTTAAATTCTGTGGATCATAAAAATATATATTTGATGGTGTCATAAAATATTTAATAAGGGATTAGGTATGGGGATTGAAATACTCAATAACAATAAACTAATATCTGTGAAATGTGCGCTACCATAGACATGTAAAATTTACACCGATTACACCAAATTTAATGTGGTTATTTCTATACTAAATTCGGTCGGAAATTTCAAAAGTGCAAAAAAGTGCACAAGAAACCTAAAATCGGCTGAAGATATATATGGGAGCTATATCCAAATCTGAACCGATCTTTATAAAATTAGAATCATGTATTGCTAGGCTGTATCTGATATCTGGTGCTAAATATCAGTCTTGTGGAGTACATATTACGAATGTGAGGTACCTAAACACCAAATCGGATGAAACATATATATGGGAGCCATAGATATATCCGAACCGATTTTCACCAAATTTTAAGTACTTATTTCTATACTACATTCGGTCCGAAGTGCCGAATTTCGCAGCATTGGGACTGATATTAGCCATTCGATATTATGAATGTGAGGGACTTAAACACTACATCGGATGAAACATATATATGGGAGCTATAGCTATATCTGAAACGATTTTCACCAAATTTGAAGTATATGCTTGTAGTCTTAATTCGATGGGAAATGCTAAAATTCAGGCCATTTGGGCTATTATTGGCCATTTGGAGCGCAATTGACCCGAAATCGGTCGAAGATATATATGGGAGCTATATCTAAATTTGGGCCGATTTTCACCAATTTCAATAGGGTTCGTCCTTGAGCCAAACAAATGTTATTTGGAAAATTTCATCTCAATCGAATCATAAATGCGACCTGCATTTTGTTTACAAAAATACATGGACAGACGGACAGACGAACAGACGGACGGACAGACGGACGGACAGACGGACGGACGGACATGCATAAATCGACTCCAAATGTGATTCTATGCTGATCACCAAAAGGAACTATGGGTCTATCTCGTTTCCTTCTCGATGTTACAAACAAATGCACAAAGACATAATACCCTTACCACTATGTGGTGTAGGGTATAATTACTGGTATGACTCTCAAGCAATCGTTCGAAGTCAGACGAGTACAATTTTTTTTTTGTACAGAAACACAAATTTTCCCAATTTGAGATTCTTAAGACTATTACGTGGCGTTTATTTTATTTTTTTTTTTTTTTTGCTATCAGTAGGTGGCTGGTCGGCTCTCCATTATGTTTATTTACTCGTATGTCATCTACTAAACAGTATTCCTTCTCAGAAGCATCGCGACACCATGTGATTGTACCACTGTTTCCGACGAATATCTTATCCACTTAGGAATTTTTTCCCAACTTTTTTGAATACAAATGCGAAAACTTTCGTTAATACAGTTTTTGATTTTAAATATGGCTTGTTCGCAAGAGGCAACATGAATCCTTCTACATTTGATAATAGGCAAGTATATGAGTGTTTTTTTTTTTTTGTGTTTTTCAAAGCTTCTAAAGTAATTTAATATTGTTCTCACATAGTTCATGCCTTCCGACGATTTGTCTCCGTCTCTCGTCTTACATTTTAAATGATGAAGTAGAAGCGTATCAGACATAACAGTGTATGACGAAAATTTGAGTCAAATCGGCCCAGTCGTTCTCAACAAATTTGTTACTATCCTTTTTTAATTATTTTACATACAGATTTAAAGAAGTAGGTGTGAGCAGTTCCTCTGACCCCAAGATTACGTCATATACTAACTGTGGAACAGATATCTTCATGATTTTGACAAATATTAGGTTAATATATATATATATATATATATATATATATATATATATATATATATATATATATATATATATATATATATATCATGAAGATATCTGTTCCACAGTTAGTATATGACGTAATCTTGGGGTCAGAGGAACTGCTCACACCTACTTCTTTAAATCTGTATGTAAAATAATTAAAAAAGGATAGTAACAAGTTTGTTGAGAACGGCTGGGCCGATTTGACTCAAATTTTCGTCATACACTGTTATGTCTGATACGCTTCTACTTCATCATTTAAAATGTAAGACGAGAGACGGAGACAAATCGTCGGAAGGCATGAACTATGTGATAACAATATTAAATTACTTTAGAAGCTTTGAAAAACACAAAAAAAAACACTCATATACTTGCCTATTATCAAATGTAGAAGGATTCATGTTGCCTCTTGCGAACAAGCCATATTTAAAATCAAAAACTGTATTAACGAAAGTTTTCGCATTTGTATTCAAAAAAGTTGGGAAAAAATTCCTAAGTGGATAAGATATTCGTCGGAAACAGTGGTACAATCACATGGTGTCGCGATGCTTCTGAGAAGGAATACTGTTTAGTAGATGACATACGAGTAAATAAACATAATGGAGAGCCGACCAGCCACCTACTGATAGCAAAAAAAAAAAAAAAATAAAATAAACGCCACGTAATAGTCTTAAGAATCTCAAATTGGGAAAATTTGTGTTTCTGTACAAAAAAAAAATTGTACTCGTCTGACTTCGAACGATTGCTTGAGAGTCATACCAGTAATTTTAAAATATACATTCCCCACACTACCATACAATCTCTCCTAGATACCAAGAATAATGAAGAGCCTTCTAAAACTAATTTAACCAATGATCAATTACAAGATGCAAGTTTCTCATTATATACGTTTGTCTTACCCTTTCTATTCATTCACCGACACAACATGGCTGTCGGCAATCCGACACCACTCTGCTATCGCAACCATCAACTCTAATACTACTAAGGTTTCCTTAAGCTGCAAGTTTCGTAACGTATTCAAGTGCTAGAATGGTAACAAATCTGCCTCAATTGTATTGTCACGATGTAACGCAAAGCATAGCTCAATGATACATCATGACCACGAAATTCAAAATGGGTGCAGCCGTAAAAACGTTGTCGAAGTCAGTGATCTAAAAGGTCTAAATTCCAAATTAACACTCTTTAGCTTCGATTTTAATTTTAATTATTGTTCTTATTGTAAATTGGCTACAACAAAAAGTTTACAATTCAGATATTTTTTGTAAAATATTTAAAGTTTCCGGATTCTATTGCTTTCAAATTTCTGAAAAAAATGGTGGAGGAATTATTATAGCTGTCTCTTTAGATTTTGTTCATTTGCACAATGATATTGAATTTATATCAGTGGAAATTCGTACAATCAAAACATTTGTATACCTTACATGCTCATATATTCCACCACGCTCTGGCCGTTTATTCGAAACATAGCGCGGCAATTAGATTTTTTTTGGTTAAACCCAATTGATCCATTAATTGTGATTGGCGACAATAATATTCCATCAATTAATAGGGATACAACTCCAGAAAATAACATAAATAATCCGGAAAATAACAAAACCATACTTCATTAAAACACGTTAAAAGTGTGACCACTTGCTGTTTCGCAAAAAATGATGTAATAAGTTTAATTCCTTTCTATTGCTAGATCGGAGTACAATATTGAAAATAAGAGAACACATACAAATTTTATACCAACTATGAACCATAAACTGAGGGACACCCTAAAAAAAACAGTAAAAAACATTAAGTTCGGTCGCCCGAATCAAAAATCATCAAAGTACCGAATATCGGGAGGTACCGCTATATAGGGATATACAAAAATGTGGACCCAAACATGCAATGTTTCGCCACCGGAGCTGGAACCCATTATGACCAAGAAATACCAATTTTCAGACAAATCCGTGAAAAAATGTGGGAAAAAATTAAAATACCGAATATCGGGAGGTACCTTTATATGGGGGGTATACCAAAATGTGGACCTATACATGCAATGTTTTGCCACACGCACAGGGACCCGTTATGACCTACAAATACCAATTTTCAGACACATCAGTGAAAAAATGTGGCAAAAACCATCAAAATACCGAATATCGGGAGGTACCGTTATATGGGATCTATACCAAATCGTAGACTCATACATGCAATGTTTCGCCACCGGAGCTGGAACCCATTATGACCAAGAAATACCAATTTTCAGACAAATTCGTGAAAAAATGTGGGAAAAAAATTAAAATACCGAATATCGGGAGGTACCGTTATATGGGGACTATACCAAAACGTGAACCGATACATCTCATTTTCAATACCAACCATCCTAGACACAACACAAATTGCTCTGCTAAATTTCTACGTCGAATAATGTGGGCTGTATCGTGATTTCAACAGACAGACAGACAGATGGACAGACAGACGGACAGACAGACGGAAGTTGTTAAATCGACTTAGAATTTTATGTTGATTATGAATATATATACTTTATGGGGTCTACGACGAATATTTAAGGATGTTACAAACGGAATGACAAAGTTAATATACCCTCCTTTCCAAGGTGGAGGGTATAAATATCTGTTTATAATATAGCTAAAATCATCAAAATACCGAATATAGAGAGGTACCATGGGGGTTATAAAACGTGGACCTGCACAGACAATTTACTGTCATAGGCTGTAGTATCCATTATGAATTTCAAATACAACATTTGAAATAATTTCGGTAAATAATGTCGCTAAAATCATCAAAAAACCGAATATCGGGGGGTTCCTTTATATGGGGACTGACGTGGACCTGCACAGACAATTTACTCTCATAGGCTGTAGTATCCATTTCGAACTTCAAATGCGAAGTGTGAAATAGTTCCGATAAATATTGCCGCTAAAATCATCAAAATATTGAATATCTGGGGGTACCGTTATATGGGGGCTATACGAAGACGTGGACCTACACAGACAATTTTCTGTCATAGGCTGTAGTATTCGTTACGAACTTCAAATTCTAAATTTTCTAAATAATGTCTCTAAAATCATCAAAATACCGAATATTGGGAGGTACCGTTATATGGGGGCTATACAAAGTCGTGGACCTACATGGCTCATTTTCTGTTTTAGGATGTAGTATCCATTGCGAACTTCAAATACCAAAATTGAAACAATTCCGGTAAATAATGTCGCTAAAATCATTAAAATACCGAATATCTGGAGGTATCGTTATATGGGGCTACACGAAGACGTGGACCTACATGGCCCCTCCATACTATGGTGGAGGGTATGAAAACTTAAAATCTATAAATGACGGCATTTCTTAAAATATTCTCAAACATTGAGCAAATTGTATCCCTTATCTGATTTAACTTCTTTTTAATAAATCGATACGCTTAAGGCAGGTTAAACATAAAAGGAATTTCCAATTTCTTCAAGTTCAATACTATAGTCGTCCAGTTCAATAAGTTTTACAATAGAATTAATCAATCCGAAAACAATAGTACTTTAGAAAGAAAATTAATATTGCAATTAAATACTAACTTCTTCTTAGTAAGTTACCATCTAAAGTTAACCATCTTCTTACAACAAATGATATCTATATAAGTAAATTATATAAGTCTGTAAACATATATGAATTATCTATAGACTTAATAATAATAGATTATTTTATCAATTATTATGTACCAACAAGAGACATGACCAGTTAAATAATGTTTATGATCGTACAAAAAAAGCCACAACTGTCCTTTTTACGTAGTCACCAACAAAAAGGTCGACGGTGTAGAAGAGCAAATTGTGCACTGGCCATGGGAAAATCCAAGCGTAAATCGAACGTACGCAGACGAATTACAATCTTTGGAGTAGTCCTTTGAGGGTCCTGTTCCCGTTGCAATATCCGATTCATGAAATCGCTGTACCCATTAGTGCCTCGTGAAAACTTTCCAGCGTAGTACTATTTTATTCCCGAGAGTTTGTTGAAGTCAACAGCCTATGATATCCTCTGACTCATTTTAGCATTAAGATTTTTATTTTGTACTCATGTGTTATTATCGACTACATAAAAATTGTATACATTTTCACGAATTCCATAATTTAGTACAAATCTCAATAATTACCAATATTCCTTTTTATACCTTCCACCATTCTATGGAGGGTATATTAAGTTTGTAATTTCATTTGTAACTTCTCGAAATACTCATATTAGTTCGTACAAGATGTATAGATATAACTTAGCTGCTAATTGATCTACATAACATCACATGGTGCTAGAATTTTATCTTTCATTTTGTTAAACGTCATATATGTTTCCCTTTTCTGGCAACAAACGGCAGGAAATTTTTTGTTCAA